GATGGCTGGCGCCGGGGTGCAGCTGCAGGCTCCAACGCGGGAAGAAGGATGCACAGCACTTCCATAGCTCATTAAAGCACTGGCGCAGCTCAGTGAAGCGGTGTCCTTTTGTCCTCTTGCTCCTTTTCATTTTAATTGACGGAGAGGGACGGTCAGTTTGCAGAAGGGAAAGCGGGACACGGAAGATCCCGATGGAATGGAGGCAGCTGTGAAATCACTACAACAGACCTCCTGAAAGTCAGAGACTGCAGCATACACTCATCTACACAGAGGACCGGGACCAGTACTGGGCAGACCTACTGAAGTTTAAGTAATGAAATACAAAGCTCTGTGCTCTGTAACAAGTGCTAGGAGACAATTAAATGAGTGGGTCAGGGATGTGGCACATCTGCTTAATGTCTTGGTTTCACCCAGGACCAGACATAATGGTAGAGCAATGCCCTCGGTGCATGGTTTGTTTCTGTTAAATGATAATGTGTCTCGTTTAGTCCAGGGGACCCTCCTCAGGGCTCTTGGCAGCACATTATGAGACACATTAGCTTACTGCTGCATACCACAACTTCTAGCACGATAGAGCACTCTCAGAGGCTTTCCAAAGACTTTTTTTATTAAGAAAAAGAAATCAAAGATGTCTTGCTCCATGGCTGGCACAGCTGATGGAAGCTATTCCTATTTGGTTTACATTTAACTGCAGGACTGGGCAGAGTATTAAAATAAGAATGTGGAGCAAACTTAAAAAAAAAAAAAGTTCAATAAAGATCTGAGCTGCAGAGGCTGTCAGTTAGCAAAAGGAGGGTATTAATATGGATGAAGTTTTGTACCTTGGAGGGAAAATAAATGCAAGTATGAAGCAGGCATATGAAACCACTGTTTTCCCAGCAGAGTAGCTGCGGAAAGACAGAGGAGAAGATCTGAAAGGTGTTCCCAAGGCCGTGTGGAACACAGGATACTTTTTTCAAAATTGTTCTGCATCTAATGCCTCTTTATATTACAAAGTTCTGGGGATTTCTCTTTCCTGGCCCAGCGGAGGGTCTTGCTGTGAAGGTGGTATTGGCAGCCAGGCTGCAGATTCACCTCTGGCCGGAGGTCGAAACAGGAACTCAGTAAGGAAGGGACAAACCAAGGCCAGAAGCACAAGGACATGTGGGAAATCCAGAGGCAGAGCCAAGGCAGGACACCAGTATGCCTGTGCCCTGTAGTGGAGGCAGGAGGAAGGGCAGCATGAGGAGAATCAGGGCAGGTTTCACAGGCCACGCAGCCATGAAGACTCTGTCCTCATGTGCCTGGGTGTCCCCTGAGCAGCCAGTCCAGGGCAGAGCCTCACAGCACCCGTGAGACAGCAGCACCCGCTGCTGAGCTGTCAGCTGCTGACCTGTGACATAGCAGTGATGCTGTGAGGGTTACACTGATGTGCTAAAGAACTTCACAGCCTGACAGAGCACCTCTCTGTTTTCAAGTCCTTCTTCTATTCTGAGGTTCTTTGTCAAGTGTGTACTAACAGTTCGCTGTCTTAAATGTGCTAAACTCCAAAAATACAGGTGAAGATTGCCCCAGAAACAAACCCACTGCAAGCTGTGGGTGCTGCTGTCATTAGGGCAGCAGCTTGTACACTTGTGATCACTAAGGATGCCACGGTGCATCCTCCAGTCACAGGAACGATGAGCAAACTGGAGGGCTCACAGCAGCAGCAGAACTCAAAAGGATTGTGTATTTCTCTGTCCTTTGCAGAGGACAACATTTACTGTGATTGCAGACCACTGTCAACCTCTGCCTGCGCGGGCCAAGGTGGTGACAGAATCCACTTACATCCTCCCTTATTTGCTTCTGCAGGGAAGGAGGTACCTTGGGAAGTCAGGTTACAGCACTTCCCCCCGTTAGCAGCACTCCTGAACCGTTTCTTCACTCAAATGCCTATTTGTTCTCCACATCGCTGACTGCCTCATGCCTCTTCACCCTGATGTCAGAAATGCTGAATTGTGAAATAATCCTAACTTGCCAGGGGTTGAGCAATGTTTCCAGGTGCTGATGGGCGTCATTTTACCTCTGAGTCTGGAAGTGGAATGGAGGAAGGGACTGGGCAGCTGTCCCAACGCGGTTAACTACACGGGCTGCAGCGTTTCAGCTCCTTTGGAGGGAAAATTCTGCACAGAAACTTATACCTCTAGATGTGGTAAATTCCTACTAAGTGTCTTCCCATGACATTTGCCACACTGGCAGCTAATTTAGTCTGCTTTAGCGCAGACACTCCTTGGGGACCTTGTGGCAAGCTATGGTAGCCTGGAAAAGCCTCAGCAGAGTCTGGTAGCTACAAATGGGTTTCCTTGTGTCACTTGCTTCTTTTCTCCATGAAAAAGAGCTGCTATTGCTGTTAGAGTCTCTTCTCATTGCTATTTCCTATTTTTCAGCCTACAAGGAGAAAATGAAGGAGCTGTCTCTGCTCTCCCTCATCTGCTCCTGTTTCCACACCCAGCCACATCCTAATACCATCTACCAGTATGGAGGTACGTAACCAGCTCCTGCAGAAGCTACAGCACCATTTGCATGATGCTCCTGCAGGCAACATGGGAGCTCATCAGCACGCTGGGCTGTCCCATCCCAGAGCAGCAATCCATGCCTCAGGCCAGGGTCTCTCTGTTTGGTCTCCTTTCACGGTTTATTTTATTAACATAACCCACATTTTCCCAGAAAGAAACCGCTTGCAGTGGCTGTCTGCTTCATACTGGGGTGACATATGCTATATTAACAGCAGTATGGCCTTTCTGTAATTATGCTGTGAATTTAAATTAATTGCATTGACTTGGGGGGATGAAGCTGATCATTAATCGGGAAATTTTGGAGATAGAACAAAATTACCCAGGTCAGGACATGGGAACACCCTAATTCCTATGTGAAGAGCTCGGTGCCCTCAGGTGAATGCTCTCCTGAGTGCCACAGGAGTGCCTGTTTTTTCCCCCCCCAAAGATATGGAAGTGAAGCAGCTGGATAAGAGGGCATCAGGCCAGAGCTTCGAAGTGATCCTGAAGTCCCCTTCAGATTTATCTCCCGAGAGCCCAATCCTTTCCTCCCCTCCCAAGAAGAAGGACCTGTCCCTGGAGGAGCTGCAGAGGAGGCTGGAGGCTGCAGAAGAGAGGAGGAAGGTAATGAGATGTCCTGTAGAAGCAGTGACTTTTCTGTCATGGGTACTAATTGCACCAAACACTAAAACTGTCTCAGCAGGTGCAATTAAAATGGCTAGAAATAGTGTTTTTACACTTATTATTATATTCCACTATAAATTGTCAGGTGAGACATGGGGGTCATGGAGTGAGGTCTGTAGGGGGTCCTACTGTGAGGACAGTATGGGGTCCTCTTCATCCTCTGCATGCAACCTGGCTGTGGGGTAGCTCTCACCAGCTAATGCTGCAGGAGATGTAGCAGTTGGTCACACACCAGACTTAAACTCCAAACCTAAACACAGCCTTGTGTTTCTGAGAGCTGGCTGTGTCCCATTTTATTGTAAGTGCTGTATAAAATGTCTTCTGGTGAAAGCTATTGAAAAGGAGAAAAAGGGCAGAGTAAAACAAAGTATAAATGTTACGAATGTTGGTGGGTATGAGGAGAGCAAGCTGAAATAATTTGAAGAATGAGGTGGCACTCGGACAGGGCACTCTGTGCCCGCACGCATCTCACCCCGGTTTTGCTGAGCCGGTGGGCGCAGCCTTGCATCGCCTGCCTGCCTGGAGCACCAGACCCAGCAGACATTGTCCCACAGCAGGAAAAAGGTGTCAAAGCGTCTTCCAAGGGAGAGTGTTATGGGATGGAGGGGGGTGGTAGCGGGCTTTTCAGCAGAGGAGGTGGTCAGAAAGCCTCTCTGGGGAGTCGAAGGCTAGAACAGCCTCTTCAGTTGCCTTACGTGCCCCTCCCGACGCCTTGCAGACCCAGGAGGCGCAGGTGCTGAAGCAGCTGGCGGAGAAGCGGGAACACGAGCGGGAGGTGCTGCACAAGGCGCTGGAGGAGAACAACAACTTCAGCCGCCTGGCCGAGGAGAAGCTCAACTACAAGATGGAGCTGAGCAGGGAGATCCGCGAAGCACATCTCGCCGCCTTGAGGGAGCGGCTCCGCGAGAAGGCGAGTGCGATGCCCTGGGAGAGGGCTGGGTTTGATGCGGGTTGGGGTTTGATCCTTGAGGGGTCACCCCAGAACGATGGGCACGAGGGAGTGGGTGTTTTGTTGCTGGTGGAAAGCGGGCTGTGGAGCAGCTCCGCTCCGGAGCAGCACGAGAAGGGGGGATGTATCCTTTGAGGTCAGTAGAGAAAATACCATCTGGCTGATCTTGATAAGTGCGAGCTGAAAGGCAGAGGATCAGGCCCACTCCATGTCCAGGGGCTGCGTGGCTGAAGGGCTTTGCAGAAGAGTGGAGCCATGAGCACGTTTGTTGTAGGTTTGCATCACCCCCGGGCTCCCGCAGATTAAATGTTTCGTTCCCTGCAGGCGTAACCCACTGTCCTCGGGGTGTGTCAGACGGGAAACTGGTCATTTTTTTTTGTCTGGTGCAAATCCTGTGTGCAGGAGAGAAGGGAAATAGAGATTGCAAGAGCAGAAAGTGTTAGCCTGGTGTCGTCTCTCCCATCTTTGCAGGAACTGCACGCAGCTGAAGTTCGCAGGAACAAGGAACAGCGGGAGGAGATCTCTGGATAAAGGGCTTTTCTACACATCTAGCACCTGATTCCTGTTAACAAACCAACCAATCGACCAACCAACACATTTTATTTTGTTTGTCTAGATGCAACATTTGGTTCTCCATCCCTCCCCCCCCC